TTTTTTTTTTTTTATACTTAGTTGTGTGGAAAAGGGTACTTTATCTCGTAAGTTACCTATATATGTATATGTGTATATACATATATATATATAGAACCTGTAGAAAGTGCTTGATTGAGATTTTTCTTTTTTTCGTTTCATTAGTCATAAAACAAGACACACGAGGTAAGTGTTGCGCGTAAGTAGTCCGACACTACATTTCTCATCCCGGTTGTCGATTCGCGGCGAGGATGGCGACACTTGTGAAAGATGACTCGTCGATGTGTCGCGACGAGAGAGAATCTCTCGGGAACCACCTCTCAGGGTGTCTCTCTTCTTTCTTTTCCATTACCGCCACCACGACTTCCGGTCGTCTCGTCGTTTTCCTCATCGTTCTCGTTCGAACAATGGGATTGCAATCTTACGGGTCACGTATTGTACGTTAAACATCGACACGTGCCGAAAACAACATTACTAACGACGGCGAGTCATTCTTCCGTCCCGTAACGCGCAGGATACTGCAATTCCACAGCGCCCGATTTGAGGCTAAGCCACGTGCTAAACTTTAAGCTATGTTTTCCTCCCTCCGTTTTCTTCCTTCCGTGAAGGGCCGGCGAGAGGTGTTTTTTTGTTTTTTTTTTTGTTTTTGTTTTTTTGTAATAACACAGTGATACGCTTTGCGAAGTGTCTGATTCAGTCCTTTACATCAGCGTCTTTGGGGCGAAGACGATTGTTTTTAGTTCAAAAATTAAGAAAAGAGAGAGAGAATCGTGTAGCTACCCTCGGACCGCACAGCATCATGCCACTTTCCGTTGTCCCTTTCGCGTCCTCTTCGTTCCTCTTCTCCGATCTTCTTACTTTGATGCGGATAATCGTTTGCTTTAGGCTTCCGAGTCTTCGTTCTTGCGATTGCGCATCAACCGCGAGACATACGACTCGATGTGAAAAACGAAATTCTCGAGGAGCGATCGAATTAGCGAACAAGCAGATCATCTCGATTGATCGGAGAAACGAACGTGGCTGCGATCCGTTTTGCAAAATGTCTCGCGCGATAACTCATCGATGATGCGCAATGTCACACGGCGATGGTTGCGTCTTCTCTCTCGAAGACGGGACAGTCGCAGGGACGACGGGCGGCACGATGGCATCTAACGCGTGATTAGATGTAGGAATATGGTCCGTCGGTGAGGGCGCTACACAGCAACAATCAGGAGGAGTCGTCCTTGCCACGGGCGCCTCTGCTCGGCCTATACTCAAGACCCGGATCGAACTGCATCAGCACGAAAACCTGTCGGTTCGAAAAAGACGGCAAATGTGATATTACGTTTCGAACAATTTGTTGTGAGGGAAAATAGATTTGAGAAAAATATAAACGACATAATCGTCACACACGCGATACCTGATCTGTGGGTAACAGTGTGAAGTCATCGGGTGGATTCGTGATCACATATCGCTTGGAAGATGCGTCGCACGACGAGCTAGTGTCTCGAAACCTAAAAAAGATCCGGACAAATGTCAGCAAAAAGAATGGGACACGCGCGTACCAAGAGAGAATACAAGCTCAACTATAAATACATCAAGAGTAATTAAACTAGCTAAAGTTTGATTTAAAGTTTAAGCTAAACTAAAGTAAACTAAGCTAAACTAAACGTATGTGGACGTATGAACAACTGAACGCTAAATAAACAACAAGATGACACAGAAAGACAGAGAAAGAGAAAGAGATAGATAGATAGATAGATAGATAGATAGAAAGGTAGAGTAGTAAAAAATGATAGGTATTTTTTGGATGAAAGGCAACTTACAATTGTCGCTTCGATACTTTCTGTTAGTCTTTTTTTTTTTTGTTTCATGATGCAAAAACGCAAAGTGCAAAAGGTGTGCAGCAGAAAATCATAATATATCAATAGTAAGTACGTGAATATATAACAGTAAGAGATAATAAACTCTGCGGTACAATAATGGCAGCAGTTGGATAGAAAAAGTCGCTGTTTTCAAGTATTGTATATGTATATATATATATACAAATGTAGAAATGTGCGCAAGGGTAAATCCAATAAATACCATCGAGAAAGGAAAAAAAGTCCGGTACCTGTACCTGTACAGACCAATGCACAGCATTCCGAACGACTTTAATGCTGCGACAAAGAGGTCACCGTACTTGCCTCCCTCGCCATACTGAGCCAATGGCCCGTCGTACAACGCGATCTGACCAACGCGACATCGATCTCTATTGGCCAGACTGTCTGCGGTGCTGCAAAATCAAACGTCATCTTGTATTGTCAAAAATTCTGAAAAAACATCGGCATCAATAATGTTTGCGTGTATTTTTGAGATATCCAACCTGTAACCTCCTCTTAAACCTGCCCCTTCAGCCAGGATCAGTTCTAACTCGGGTGTAGCTCCACCGGTGATCAATGACCGAATCAGAGTCAGCGCGTTTTGGTTGAAGTATGTCTGCAAAAGTACAGGCATAAAAAAAAAAACATACTATAGTTTCTCTTCTAGCAAATATTATTTTTACAATTCTCGCAGCGTCTTGGGAAACGAGAATATTGGCTCTGCGTTATTGATCCGCACCTGTACACAGAAACAAAAATAAAACGAAAATTCTTAATTACTGACCGTCGACATGAGGGAATCCAATACGCTGACTGCGAAGGCAGTGCCGCAAGCGAACGGTTGTGTGAGGTAGAGCTCCGTGTCCGGGTCATCGTCGTCGTCCTGGTCAAGGAACTGCACGTTGCTGTCGTTTACAAGCTCTGAAACGATAACACAGCCACGAGCAGAAATAAATTCAACTATCTCCAATATGAATATTTTGATTTGAAAGATTAATTTGTTTGCAATAAATAAATGTGTCCTGTAGGACATTTCTTCGTTACCTGTAATCATTGGCACATTCGCTCCATAAACGGATCCCCGCCGCTGCAAGACGATCGGGCTGCCAACTGCGGTTAAATTACCTTGCTCATTATCTGCTGTAATTTGCACTTTCGATTTAATATAATTTAATAAATTCGATTTAACGGACAAACACGCACACGACTTCACACAAACGTAATGACACAAACTTTAAGCGTAAGCCTGAATATACCTTGGTTAAGCACGCCGATTGTATCGTCGAAAGTCATAGCCTTGATATTGAGGGACGCGAGGATGGCCTCCTTGTCGGCGAGGGTGGGGTCATCATTGCTAGGCACTTTTGCCGACAGGATGCAACACATGTCGCACAGATTCACATTAACGGCACGCAAATCGGCTCTACTTAGCGGCGAACCCTGCGGAAACGTTATTCTTATGCTTACATATCCGCGCTATTTTATACAATAAATATAAAAACAAAAATTAAAAAAAAAAAGTTTCACGCTGCGTTTTTCAGCAGCTCTCCTCACATTTAGAACCGATATCTTCGGCAGATTCTGCAGCATCTTCCACTCGCGGCGTATGTAGTCCACCGACCCAACTATCACTACGTGTTTAAGCTCGTGGTAATGAAAATTGGAAGCTCGTAATGGCATGACAAGGTTTCTCAGTCCGATGAGGGGCGAATCGGGATCGGCGAACAGACAAACGACGACGTGTCCGTTCAGGACTGTCATCGCCGCCTGATTACGATCCAATATACAGTCTTCGAGGTTGCGCGAGGGGCTCCAGTGGAACATCCCCGTCGAGTCATATTTCATCTCTGTCTTCTCGAAGTCGAAATCCTTTGCCTGATCGTCAGCGATCCCGACCTGAAGACCGCTGTTGTTGTTGACGTTTGTGCCAGCCGAGGCTCTGCTCGTTGGCCTGAAAACATTCGCGTCTTTGCCGTCACCGGTGCTCGAGAGAGGAGGACACTTCACACGCGGAGCACAATCGCTTTTATACAAACGCGAATTTACGTGACAAACATCATTGTCAGCGATTATTACAGAAGAACAGCAACAGTAAATTTTGTACGATAGAGAAAATATTAAAATCCTACGTCTTGTTTTCATGACATAAAATGTAATACGTATTCTTTTTGTACATGTACAAGAAATATCGAAAAATATATTTCAAAAAAAGAATTACATCCGAAATTTTTCTCTCCAAGCTTGTTGTTAAAATTTCAAAGCCGTGTTTGGTTTTTTTTTTTTGCATGCATTTCACATAGTACTCTTTATCATCTAGCACTACTAGTATTGCTACTTTGTAGCTTATAATAGGACGTTTCAAGTGACCGAAAGAAGATAGTCGGAAATGTCAAGCTACCGTACGCATGCAGACATAAATGTTTGTGTGACGAAGATTTTAAACGGGACTTTCCGTGTCTCGGTAAAATTGACAAATTGTATACTTTTCCCCGCACCGGATCGCATCGGAGAGACCACCGGAAAAACGTCGATCGACGCGCAATATTTTCTTTGCGTTTTTCTCTCAAACGTGGAAAATATTTCTCATATTTCAAACCAGGCCGCTGTCAAACGCATTACCGCATGCGACATCCATGTATTTTACGAGTGCCGTTAAAGCCACATGTTTTCCGAGATTAAGTATCCTCGTAAAACCGGACTTGCATCGTTTTTGCGACCGCGACGTGTGTAGATGCAAAGTCGCGCGCGAGACGTAAAAGCAACACGTTTTTGATGAAAAATGTAACGTCGCAGAAGATATTCCGCGCGAGATACTTATGTCCAGCTGTCACTAATAACTTACATGACAAAAAACTAGAAAAAGAGAAAAGGTCGGGTTTTTAAAGAGGAATACGTAATATTTTTTAACGCGTATGTTCTTTCTCGCGAGAGGAAGAAATACGCGCGTTCCTGTGTATTGCCGAAAATGTTCGAATGTGTCCTAGCAAGCAAGCTTACGTGATAATGACGTGATTATGAAGTGATTTTGATGACTACGACGTTAAGTAACATAAATGGTATGTTATTTTGACGTCATTTACAATACTAAAAATTGACATCGCCGATATAACGTCATTTAGATGTCGCGGTGACGTCATATATCAATTTATATATTGAATTTCAATATGACATCAATAAAACGATTAAATGAAGTTCTAACAATAACCTTGAGTTAAATTCAACCGTTAATTATAATAATATGTTTATTAATAACATTTGTTTTTTTGAATAATATTATATCTTTAAATACATTATTTATAGATAAGTATAGCCATTTATTTATAGATAAGTAGCCACGTATACTTTGGTAAACTGATTACCTTTTATATATTAAATTTATTAAAAATAACATAATATATAATAAATATATATTCAATGATAACTAAAATTTATTGTAGTTAAATTTTATAAGAAGAACAATTATTATTAAATATTTCTTATTATTAAAGGTAAATATACATAAAAACGGAGCACGCTCGGAGGTCATTGTCCTTGACATATGTTGTCAAGGACACCTTCCTGAACAAAAATCTGCAACTTTTAGCCGTCGCTTGTTGTTTGTTAAAAAATTATAAACAAAAGAAATATCATAAATGAATTCTTATTTTCCGACACCGTGTACATTTTGTTTGTGTTGTAACCGTGTAGGCAGGGGGGGCTGCGCCCCCCGCAGGAGGAGGGGCTTCGCTTCGAATTCTTCACTTGACACTTAATTGAATTCTTCATTTTTTTGTGAGGGGGGAACAGGAGGGAAGGGCAAAGCCCCTCTCCCTGTGAGAGGGCACAGCCCCCCTGCCTACACGCTTACAACACAAACAAAACACGGTGTCGGAAAATAACGGTTTATTGACGCAATTTCTTTTCTTGTTTCTAATTTTTTAACAAACAACGAGCGACGGCTAAAACCTTCAGATTGTTGTTTAGGGATGTGTCCTTGACAACATATGTCAAGAACAATGACCTCCGAGGGTGCTCCGTTTTTATGCATATTTACCTTATTAAATAATAAATGAAATGTGTAGAATAGTTTGAGAATGAGTAAAGAAAAATAATTACAAACATGAAATCTTCGGTCATAAGAGCCAAAAATAATTACATTATAGTAAGGAACAAGTGGTTTAGCGAACTTAGTGCAGGGGCTGCGAATATGGAGGTCTCGAGTTCTTCAAATCCCCACCATCATCACCTTAGAATTTTTTCTAGGCCCGGTATCTTTCATCGAGTTAATCAGTTGATTTGACAAACTGAATCAGATCTCCAAAAATTAATTCAAGTGAATTTTCGAATTAATTTTGTTTCTATAAAGCGTTTTTTTTTTATATATCACCGTAATATTACTGCGATGCATTTCGGCGGTCATTTTATTACTGTAATGCAGTAATATTACGTGCTATGTGGGATGTTGATACTATTGTTCTTTAAGTGTTGTATTTTGTTTTTCTTTTAAATTTACAATAACGTCTTTACCATGTTATATTGGTGAGACTTTTTTGATTATATTCACGTCTACTTGACTTAATATAATGACGTCGATAAGATGTGACATAATCACGTGATATGTACGTCAAAATCACGTCATTGTTATGTCATAATTGACGTTTTGCAGACCAAAAACTGACGTCATTATCACGTGAGCTTGCTACCTGGGGTGTCGCTCGACATGCAGACGAGCATGTTTCATTGTTAAACAGCAGAATGGGAGAAAAAAACACATGGAGCGGTATATAATCACGTCACAAATAACAAGGTAGCGTTAACAACAACAGAAGCGTACATGAGCTTTTTGACTTCGTAGGCGAGATGGTAGCCAGCGTATGCGGACTCCTCTTGCGATCTGGAATCAGAAGGTTTACGGCGTAACGTTGGATCTGTTCTCAAATGAGAGACTCTTTCTGATTTTGATCACCGACGAAAGATAATAATGATGACAGTGATGAGTGATTTTCCCGACAAATTTCGTATTACGATCTTCCGTTAAATCGTGAAAGAAAATATCGTGGCACGCAAGATACGTCGCAGCTCTCTCTACTTTGCGTGTTGTTTCACGTAAAGAAATTTTTTTTACACCCGCGAGTGACAAATGTGTTTTAACAGTAAAGTATCAGAGACGTTCTATCTTGAAGCGATAGTAAAAATTCGCTCGAAATGACAATGAAAACTAATCTAGCGGACATGTAGCAGGATTGTCGGAAATGTCAACCACCTGTAACAGGTTGTACAGACAGATATTTCTCGATGAACCTGTTGCAGGTGACCGATAACATATTACTGTCGTGTTTTCGCGTGAACAATTTCTCGTCTGATTTATGCCAATTGTTTGTCACAATAACACCAAACGCGTTCTTTGACAACAATTTATCGAAATATTATGCAAATTACAAAAATATGAACGTTATAATTTTGTCAATGTCGTAATCGATCAATGGATGAGTGATTCTGGATCGCATCGAAGATCTCTACCGAGAATCGGTGCGTTAAATCATTTTGCGGGTTATAAATGTATGTTTAACAGTTTTTGTTTAGAAACATGCTTGACAGAGAAGTACATACGAAATGCGAAAATCGTTGATACATTAATGTGCAGATGGCGTAGTGCACTCGATCAAAATATATAGATCTCGTCATCTCTTATTAATGGATTAATATTAATTGAGCTAAAATTAAAAAAAAGTACACGCATTTACAAAATGAACAAATAAACGGTAATTTACAAAAAAAAACTGTTTCCGTGTAAAGTTATGTAGTATTAGGTTATTCAAAATATGTTGCTAATTCGTCAATTAGAGTAGTGTGTGCAACATATTACAAGGAAATGTGTATAAAGAAATTCTCACACAGGCTCAGAAAAAAATTTTCTGTTTTCATTATATATTATCCATATATGAGTCTTCGTCTAATTTAAATCGCATTGTATAATTTGAATAACCCCTGAACGCGCGTACAATGTGACAGACTCTGCGTAGTAATACTAATCGTGCAGCTATGAAGAAGTAAGCTTGTAATCAAAGTGAAGAACAATAAGTACAGGATACTCTTTACGACAGGACAGAGAAAGATTAGAGCGTAGTTCAGGAAGAGATTTACGTTTCAAGCAGGGACTTATACCGGTATGCAAAATACCGGTATTTTACCGATATTTTTGGGTAATGGTATGAAAACCCTTATGCAAACCGAAATGCAGATATACCGGTATACGATAATATCGGTATATTTACCCATATTTACCTATATTTACCGATAATTTTTTCGTGATTTTTTAAAAGTAATATCTTAAAACTATAAGTGTTGTCATTATGTTGATAACACTTTTTAAGCGATTGATATTATATT